TGTCCTTATAATGCCGGATTATCGATCGTTGAGTATGCTCTCAATAACATCGGACGAAAGTGTATTGCCTGGGAATTGGGTACTTTTTAACAACGTTGCATTTGATCTTTTCAACTGTAGGCGGTGAATGAAGACGTTTGCAGTACAGGCTGCTTAGATTTTGTGACTGCGAATATGACCGACGCAAGTACAGTATCACATCTGCCATCTGAAAGACTCCTGAGGCGTCTAGACTAAAACCACCTTTTACGCCCGTTAGCTTTGTCAGAACTCATCAATCGGATGAGGTCTCCCTTCTTTGCGAAACGATTGCTTCAAGGCCGCCGTCGAGGCTTCTCCAGACCTTTCGTGTTCTGTTACTGATGGACCAGTTCTGAGCATTCTGAAATGACGCTCTAGAGACTTATATTATGCGCGCGTTTACTGTAGCGACGAAACGGAATCCGTTCACTTTATCTTATCTTCTGTGTATAACTGCGCAGTATCTTTTTTAAACATGCTAGTTAAATTGCGTGAGTTTATTATATTTTCGTGCCCGACGAGTGCACTAGAGCTGCCTCTGATATAGGCGAAAATGTGTGTTCCAGGAAATATTTGAAAAGAGGTAGATGCTGTCGCTGTAGCAACAAAAATGTATTCGCCCGACGTTTCGAATTTCAGCTCCTCCGTATTATCAGAGACACCTTGTGACAGCGTGGGGTTGTTTATGCACAAGGAGTTACAATATTTACTGTATATAGTCGCTATACTGCCGCATACCTATGACACTTGGCGGCTTCCCCTTTCATCGGGGAAGGTTGGCCCTTGACACAATAACTGCTTGATGGTCGTCATTTGAGATGCTAATCGCTGCAATTTTATCACCCGTGTTGTGTGTTGGCGTGATGATTCCTCGACCATCTGGCTCACCGACGGCGCCTTTGAAAACGGTGTTCACCTGCGCGCTGCCTGAACGTCTCAATACTTTGGCTAATCTAAGTCTCAGCTACGAGTATGGGGTAGGGTGATCATTGCGCTTGTCAGTAGACTAGAGGCCCGGAGACCAAGCTCGCAGCTCAGTCGATTATCCGCTCTCGCGAGAATTCTGGCCTCATCGAACTTGAATGTGTGGCTGAGTCTCGTCGAATGAGCCGCGACTCATGAATTGGCGTCTTTTCTCGACACGGCCGCCGTGCCTTTGGCCATTAGCGCCCAGAGCCCTCTTTCAGGTTCTCCGATGTAGTTTATTTGCCTACAACTGCACCAGATCTGATAAACTACTCCAGACGTTTATTTGCCGTGGAAGTGGCTCTTTTGCTCTCAGTAACTTGCGCTTCCGGTCTGTGTGCGAATCCATGTGGTGCGAAAAGGTGACTGACAGCCTATCGATGAAAGCAAGCACTGGCCAAAATTCGAAATCGGTACGATTTGGTCTCTCGTCACGGTTATATATGCACCGGTTAACGAAATTGCGCCCGTAGCCATTTTGCCTGAATACCCCCCAACAACCTAGGCTTCCAGTTTGAGCATTATTTAGAAACGTTAGGCGAATAGTTGATCGCGCCCGTTTCTTCTAAATGCTGTTTCTGTTAATTTGTGGATCCCCTTCTTTTCCATCGAGTATCATTTCCACCTCTGTCTCATCTTATGACCACCACTAGAATGAAAATTAATAGCATTATCGTTATTATTCGTGCCATTTTTAGGTGCCACATCATGTCTTCCGCTCTTGGGACTGTTACACACTCGAACTCCTTCTGCTCGGCCTTATTTTCGTTTATCTTGTCAACTTCATCATCGGCAGGGGCACCAATTCTCGCATAGCAAACGCCTGGTTTGCTGCGCATAAAGAACTCTTTGAGTCCAACTTTGCCCTCGTTGGTAAGTGTCTTTGGCC